GGGGGGGAGGAGGAGGAGGAGGAGGAGGAGGAGGAAGAGGAGGAGGACTGTGGGTGGTCTCTGAGCTTGCTTGGTGATTTTTTGCAGATGTTTCCTGACCCAATTCCGCCACGTCTCCTGGGCTAGAAAAAGACTTTTTAAACCTTGGAAGGTGAGGCTGCAAATGTCCTTCAACTTGGTTGGTGATCCTGACATTTCCAGGCTGGGCTGGAGTTCTTTTCCTCGCCCCTTTAAATCTCAGCTGTCAGAAAGTTTCCTCTAACAGCTGCCAAAACTGAAAGGGGTTTAATCTCTAGAACAACCTTCTCAGTTTGCAAAAGTTTATGTAGGTTAGAATTTGAGATGGGACGGCCTGGAAAAAAAAAAAACACTGGGAAAATTGGGGGAAAAACAGGGGCCCCCCCCCCCTTCCCCCCCCCCCCAAAAGCTGGAAAAAAAAACAGGAAAAAACAGGGGAAAAAAAAACCGGTTTAATTCCCAATTTTTCTGGGTTTTCCAGGCCACCCCATCTCTAAATTAGCAGACAAAGATTCCTTCTTGGGTATTACAATTACTGCCCATTACGATCATTAAGCCATCCAAAAGTGTCAACCACCCTGATTATAGAATTTTCCTTTTTTTAACAAAATTTTATTTCAGTTTTCCACATTTTAAAAACTTCTCTTTTTAGTGAACAGCGTGATTCCAGGTTTTCACATTTCCATACAAACATGGAAATTACACTCATGACACGCTCACCTTTCACATTCAGTTTCATATCTTACCAATACTTTACATACTTTCTATTATTATTATTTTTTCCCCAAATACTTTCCTCCAGCTTAAATCTTAAACAATTCTCATACCTTCATATTCATTATACTTTTATCTGTCAGGTTTGCAATTTCATCGCATATTCTTATTTCATCCTTTCGCGAATTCTAATTCAATTCAAACATTTCAAAAAAGATTACTAATTTGAGTGTGCCACCCCCATAGCTTATATAGTCTTTAATTACCTCCTCTTTAAATCCCAATATTCAGTTAACTTTTAATTATTGTCTAAAAATTAATAATAATAATCTCCTAACAACTACATAACATATATACGTTTTAGGTCAGAGAATCTTTTTCATGGAGGTTGTTAAACGACCATTGGGGTATTTAAGCAAATGCCACGGTCCTTAAGTGAACCAGTTTCCCCCCCGAGGGGGGGAGGAGGGAGGAAACTTGCTGAAAAATGAGATCGTCCTTGACTTACAATCTTTTGTTTAGTGACTGTTCAAAGTTTACGACGGCGCTGAAAAAAAAAGTGACTTAGGACCGTTTTTCACACTTACGACCGTTGGGGCCTTCCCTGCGGCCACGGGATCAAAATTTGGACGTTTGGCAAGCGACTCATATTTATGACGGTGGCGATGCCTCAGGGTTAGGCCCTTTCGTGGCCTTCCGACAAGTGAAGTCGAGGAGGAAGACGGGTTCACTTAGCAACCGTGTGACCCACTGAACTGCACCGGTTCACTTAACAGCGATGTCAAGAAAAGGTCGTAAAATGTGGGCGAACGGACCCCCGCAACCGTCATAAATATGAATCGGTGGACAAGCACCTGAACTTTGAACAGGTGGAACGTGGGGACGCAGCAATGGTCTGTATGGGAAAATGGTCGTCAGTCACTTTGTTGTCACTTCGAACGGTCACGTCGTAAGTCGAGGACAACCTGCGTACGAAGAATTTGCTGATCCTTGATTTACGGATAAAACACTTACAGGGCGTCCCTCTCGTGGCCTCCTCAAATGTGACGCGTGTGTAGGGCTTGCTGTAATCCACTTCCAGCTGATCAGAAAACGGCGCTGGCTCTCGCAGGCCCTGGGTTGAAAGGATGAAACCCGAGAAAAATCAGGGAAAAAAAATACATCTTTACTAACTTGATCCCCGTGCTACAAAACTACGTGGTGGGGCTTAGTTTTTGGGGAGGAAAATAAGGGGCGGGGGGAGAAATTCTGCCTCTGCCTACCAGCATCCATCGGTATTCATCTGGCTAGCGTCCTGTCAGTGTGTGAGAGAGTGGAGGGCTGTTTGGAAACTGAAACAGTATTTGCTGTGTGAGCAAGGAGCCTGGGCACGGCTTAGCTCAACTGTTCTGTACTAAAGCTGCTTGGTGCTGTGAAACTGAAACTCCTCTCCTCTGTGTTTTGCATTTGGAAGAGATTTCTTTTCAGGTGGTGAGGGGGGAGTAGAAGTCCTTAGCATCAGAGCGTGTTAATAATAATAATGATGATGATGATAATAATAATATAGGAAATGCTAATGCTCTTGATGGTCATTAACCTACGTGCCAAATTTCAAGTTTGCAGGCTTGACGGTTCTGGAGATTTTGTGATGATGCGTGAGGGGTATTTCGCTTTTATAGAGAGAGAGATTTGATATTCCTAAAGGTTAGGAAAAGAGGATTCTGTGCAGGGATTACGGAAGGATTGTAGCCTATGTTAGTGTGAAGAACAGCCCTGCAGAAATTCATCCTGTAGCCGTGTTTTTTTCTAGCTTTGCAGGTTTAAGACGTGTGGACTTCGATTCCCAGAATTCCCCAGCCAGCCAATTCCTGTTTCTTTTTCTCTTCTTCCCCTAAAGTGGAGAGAGATTGCAGAGGAAGGGATTACAAGAGAGTAAGCTATGCTGGCTGGGGGATTTTGGGAGTTGAAGTCTTTACACTTTACACTTGGCATAGAAACTTTGCATTGTTATATATATCCTTTCCACTTTAAACCAATTCAAGGTAGAAAGATTATTTTTTCCCCCCTCCGAAGCTGAACTGGCAAGTGATCTTTGTTGAGAAGTTGAAATTCTCACGCCGGGCGGAAGATGTAACTTGCAACCTTTTGTGATGAGTTCGAGATGTTAAAAATACTACTGATTGCAAGGTTTAAAAATAGTGGTTGCCGAGCGGAAGTTTCTCCCCTTAGATTGGGTAAGGTGTTGGTAGGAGAAAGATGCAGCTGGAAGGAATATGTGTTTAATATGTGATTAAAGCCGGCCAAAGTCATTGTGAAATGAGATGGGTGGGAAATATAAATAAATATATAATGTTTAAAAATTAAAAATAACAAATATAACATTCCAATGAAAATTAAAAAAATATAATAAGAATTTAAAAAAGCACGGGGAAATCAAAATTAAAAAGGGAGTGAAATGAAATAAGAATAATAATAAGAAGAAATAAAAATAAATAAAAGGAAACAAAATAAAAATAAAATTAGAAATAGAATAAAAATAAATCAGTAAAATAAAAGCCAATTAAAATATAAAATTGAAATCAATAAAAATGAAACAAAAGGAGTAAAATAAAAATAAGTTAAAATTAAAAATTAAATAAACAATAAATAAAATTAAAAAAGCACAGGGAAATCAAAATTAAAAAGGGAGTGAAATGAAATAATAATAATAAGAAGAAATAAAAATAAATAAAAGGAAACAAAATAAAAATAAAATTAGAAATAGAATAAAAATAAATAAGTAAAATAAAAGTCAATTAAAATATAAAATTGAAATCAATAAAAATGAAACAAAATGAGTAAAATAAAAATAAGTCAAAATTAAAAATTAAATAAACAATAAATAAAATAAAAATAATTAAAATAAAGACAATTAAAATGAAAATTAAATAAAAAATAAAATAAAAATTGAGCAAAATAACTAAAAGAAAGACAATAAATGAACATTAAATAAAAATAAAAATTAAGCAAAACAAAAAAATAAGCAAAATAAAAACCATGAATTAAAACAAAAATCAAATAAAGCAAAAAAAAATAAAAATAAGCAAAATAAGAAAACTGGTAAAACGAAAACAGCGCATTAAAATGAAAATCCAATTAAAAATGAATAAAAATAAAAACTGAGCAATAAAAACCAGTCAAATAAAAACAACAGATTACAATGAAGATTAAATAAAAAATAAAAATAAAGGAAGAGGACGTTTGTGTCAACCAAAGATGCCTGTAAGAAGATGGCTGAATCTGAGGTAAAAAAACCGAAGATTCCTGAATTTGAGGTAAAAACTACAATTAACAAATGTGGTTTTTTTTTTCCTCAGCAGAGCAAGAGGGACTGAGTTTCCCTCAGACACTTCAAAGTGAGTGGACTTCAACTCCCAGAATTCCTCAGCCGCCTGACTGGGGAATTCTGGGAGTTGAAACCCGCCCACTTTCTAGGCTTTCTGGGAGTTGAAGTCCACTCGCCCTCCTTCTCTCTCTCTCGGGGCCTTTTCAACTTACGAAACAGCTGCGGGGCAGTTTTAAGGGGATGCCGTCCGACTCCGCAGCCCCGTTGGGGCCCCCTCCTCCTTCTTTCCTCCTCTTCCGGGAGTTCAATCTGGCCGAGATCTGGGGATCCATCCCGTAAATCGCCTCTGGCAGCTCGGCTGGAAACCCCTGGACGATCCAAAGCAGGCGTTATTTGAAAGACCTCTCCAAGCTCAGAGAGCGGCGGAAGGAAAAGGGGCCAGCGGCCGGCCAGCTAGCCAGCTGGACGGCAAGGGAGCAGAAGGTTCACGCTGGCCATGGGCCTCCTGGCACATCGGTCGGGAGACGTGGGACGAGGAGGGGAGGGAGGGAATTTGTGTGGCTGTGTGACAACGACAAATATGGTTTGGGTCTGCTCGAGTGGCAGGGAAACCAGCCGTCCAGGCGATACTGGACAGTAAATATTGAGGGGTTATTTTTATTTTTTTTCCCTCCCAACCCAGCAATCCTGCCGAAACTGCAGGCAGGACACCTCTGTATACTTTAGCGCTGTAAAAACCTGGGGAAATATTTACAGGGGGGGTTCTTGAATGACAACCATTGGTTGAGTGACTGTTTGAAGACACAACAGCAGTGGAAAAAGGTGACTTGTGACCATTTTATCCACTAATGACTGTTGGAGCATTCATATAGTTTCCCCGAAAAATACGACCTACCCCGAAAGTAAGCCCTAGCTTGATTTTTTTTTACACGTGCGCCCAATATAAGCCCTAACCCCCAAAATAAGCCCTAATTGAGACCCTGTCCACCCTCTTTGCCCTCTGGTCGCTAGTCATCCTCTCTCAGCAAGCCAAATCTCACCTTCCATTTGCTTCCAGGTAATTCTAGCGGTACAGGAGGGAATAGGGGTATTACCCTGTTTTCCTGAAAATACAACCTACCCTGAAAGTAAGCCCTAGCTTGCTTTTTACACATGCGCCCAATGTAAGTCCTACCCCAAAATAAGCTGTAATTAAGATCCCACCCACTCCAGAGTGGACGGGTAAAAATTAAGGTAGGGTAGGGATGGGGGTAGGTGGAGCCGCCCTACTACTTATCTTCGGACAGGTATAGTCGGGCCTCGCACACCCCGACACCTGCCTTGCTGGTTCATTTCTTCTGTAGCTGGCAAGGCTTTTCTGAAGGCCTCTGGAGCTGAGAACAAAGCTCAGGATCGATCCAAAGCTCCGTTATTAGCTGCAGAGGCATTCAGAGAAACCTGGCCGGCCAAAGAAGTAGTAGTTCCTGAAGGCCTCGGACAGCGAAAAGGAGGCCGGGGGTAACGCCCGCAAGTGAGGCTGGTCAGTGGATGACATCCCCCGAAAATAAGACCTGGTGCCTTTTTTTTTGTGGCAAAAAATAAATAAGACAAGGGTCTTATTTTCGGGGAAACGCGGGTAGTCACACAATCAAAATTTGGGTGCCGAGCAACTGACTCCTATTTATGTTGGTTGCAGCGTCCAGGGGAAACACGATCCTCCTTTTGCGACCGTCCGTTAAGCAAGGTCACATGGGAAAACTCGCAGATTCACTAAACAAGCCTGTGATTCAAAAGTCTGGAAATCCATTTTATACAGGTAGTCCTCGCCTTACAACAGTTCATTTTAGTGACCGTTTGAAGTGACCACGGGCCCCGGAGGGGGGGGAAAATGTGACGTAGGATCATTCTTCACACTTACAACCGCTGTGCCGTTCCTCAGGGTCGGGTGATTAAAATTGGGGCCTCTTGGCAACGATTCCTTTTTACGACGGTCCCAGTGCCCTGGGGTCACGTGGTCTCCTTTTTGGGACCTTCTGACGAGCACAGTCAAGGGGGAAAGCCAGATTCGCTTAACGACTGGGGCGATTCGCTTAACAACCAAGGGCAAGAAAAGTCGTAAAACGGGGCAAAACTCACTTCACAAATGCCTTGGAAATTCTGGGGTCAATTCTGGTCGTAAGTGGAGGACTACCTGTCTATAAACGGACGACACTTGGCCGGGAAACTTCCTGAATTTGATTTGTAAGTTGGGAGGGAAGGAAATGGTTGCTCTACATAATCCCTCTCAGGAAATTGTCCCCAGACCACGATAGGCAGATCCCAAACATGGATATCCTGTAGATAAAAGAGAGAAATGGGGCCGCTCGCCATAGCCAACTCGCTGTGGGACAATTTAACCATTCTATGTGATTATTTGAAACAAACCAAACTTAAATTTTCGCTCTTCCCATTTCATCCTGTCCCTCCTTGTGCGCACTTTCTGTAATGATTGTATTCCACCATTTCTTTGATTTTAGTGTCGTCCCAAAGGTTGTTTTTTGCAAGAGGAAATTGGACTTTCTTGTTTTAAACTTTTTCGGCTCTGACTGAATGGTGGGGAATGGAAGGATTTATCCTCCTTGCAGACAGCTGGTCATTTGCATCCTTTTAGAGAGCCGTTGAGGCCACTAGGAGGTTTGTCTGAGTAGTGCAAATATGGGTGGAGCCTTACCAATATCATCTCTCTCCGCTCTACAACACAGTCCTTTCCGCAGTTCCAAGAAGGCTCCACAGTCATTTGTACTACTCACATGACCCTGAGGACACAGACAAACCTCTAAGTGGCCTCAACGACCCTCTAAAAGGATGCAAATGACCAGCTGTCTGCAAGGAGGGTAAATCCTTCCATTCTCCTCCATCCAGGCAGAGCTGAAGAAGCTTCTGAGAAGCAAAACTCCCTCAAAGGTAAAAAATAATAATCAGAAAGTCCAGTTGCCTTCTGAAAAAAAAAAAAAAAAAAACACCTTTGGGACAATCGTGACCTGGATGACTGACAATCTCTACAGACTTTTACCTATACAATTTGGGATGAACACCCTTCGAATGGTGTGGGAGCAGGAATGGGGTTCCAGAGAGAAAAAACTGCAGAATACAAGACCCACTTGCACTACTCAGGTGACTCTGAGGTCACAGGCAAACAGGCCAAGTGGCCTCAACGGCTCTCTAAAAGGAGGCAAAAAAAATATAATACAAGGAGTTCCCCACCATCCAGTCAGAGCTGAAGAAGCTTCTTGGGTGAGAAGTCTTCAAAAAAACAACAACAAAGAAAGTCCAGTTACCTCTAAAAAAAAAAAAAGCACATTTGGGTCATCCCTTGAGACTTTCAAGAAGAGATTGGACTGCCATCTGTCAGAAATGGTGTGGGTCTCCCGCTTGGGCGGGGGGCTGGACTAGATGACCTCCAAGGTCCCTTCCAACCCTGATTATCTGTTCATCTGATTATCTGGATGATGGAGAATCTCCATAGAGATGGAACTCTTGTCCGGCAGCGAGATGGACTGGGCGCATTGCCTACGGCGAATTGTCATAGATCCGATAAGACCAGGCCCTGAGGACTTTCCATTTCCAGCCCAGAAAATGAGGTTTGGAGCTTCCTGGGCTATGAGCCAACTTTGTAAAAGCGTTTTTTTTTTTTTTTTTAAATGATACACACCCTTCGTAACACACGTACACCCAGTGGGATGGGGAATTTTTCCTGCAGACTTTTTTGGGGTGATTTTCCCAGGGTCTCTGGTCCACGGGATTTAAAATGATGAGTTTGGTGGTCCCTGAGGTCCAAAAGTTTGGCGACCCCTGGCATAAAGGATTACAAAAAAAAAAAAAGTCCAGTTTCAGATGTTTTTTCCACGTTTTATGCCCGTGCTATGATGGTGCCCTGCGCTTTCAAGGACACAACGCTCCTGAATTCTGGAATCAATCAATCAATCAATCAATCAGAATAGAGCTGGAATCAGAGTTGAGCCTCCAAGTCACCCCATCTTTTTTGGGGTGGGTGGGTGGGAAGTTTAGGATTTGCGCCCAGTCGGAGCTCACGTGTGTTAACCTATTTATTTCACGAGCTCTGCGATCGCACAACTCCCCTCATTAAGCCCCAGATCACACGTTGTTTCTCACCTGCCCACAAACACACCCTGAAATGACTACTGCCACACTTACGCAAGCTGCTCCTTCGACTATCTACGCCACCAACGCTCAGCTTTCACAACGTCCATGGTTGCACTAACACAATGAAAGTATGCAATGTTTAAAGAGCATTTTGGGATATTGTGCCAGCAGCTGGGGAGGGGGGGGACAACAACAACCCTGATGGGACGAAGATGAAAGATAATGTGATGACCCAAGGTGGGATACAAAAGCAACAAAGTCACAAAAACAGGTGAGGGCCCTTTAATTCCTTCAACTTGGCTTCAAAGGTCCAATTATCATTGACTGGAGACAAAAAACTCCCCCACAAACAGTTGCGAAAAGGAAGAAATGCCATTCAAACTCAAAATACATATAAATTATGTATTTTGTATTTTATTTAGGAGTTGTAAGGGACCTTGTAGGTCATCTAGTCCAACCCTCTTGCCCAAGTAGGAGACCCTACACCATTTCTGACCAATGGCAGTCCAATCTCTTCTTGAAAGTCTCAAGGGATGACCATGACCTGGAGGACTGAAAATCTCCATAGACTGTTGACTTAATCACCGTGATACTAACTTAACAGCTGCAGCGATTTCCTCGGGAAAGAAAAGTCGGTAAAAAGGGGCAAACTCACGGAACAAATGTCTCAGTTAGCAGCAGAAACATTAGGCTCCCTTGTAGTCATTAAGTGGGACTTCCTGTAATCCCGCAAACGGGATAAGGAACTGAGAAAGCCGCTAGAAACGCAATGCATGACTGGGCAGAATACACAATTAAAAAGAAGAAAAAACCCAACCCACACTGTATAAAAGCCAACAGAACAAAGCACAGCCACACCCCTGATTTATGCAACCTGGGCCAGAGTTGACCCCCGAGGCCAACCGCAGCATTCCTGTCTTTTGCACAACGCCCTTGGGCAAAGTGTGGCACGCACCCCTGACGCAACTGGCTGTGTTAGAATGACAAGGATTTGCACAGCCGCCTCTCCAGCCCACCTGTTGCTTACACCATCTGTTTATTTAATGAATTGGGGCTGCTTGTCAGGCACTGGCTCACACACAGGCAGTCCTCGACTTACGAAAGTGCGTTTCGTGGCCATTCAAAGTTACAATGGCACCGGGGGGGGGGGGGGGGAAGGGACTTGGGACCGCTTTTCCCCCCACACTTAACGGCCGTTTGCAGCGTTCCCCACACGGTTGCGTGATCGAAATTCTGACGTTTGGCGATCTGGCTTTCCCCGTGGGCTTGGCTGGGCAGGTGGTCACAAAAGGGGATCATGTGAATCCCCTCCTGCCGTAAATATGAAGCAGTTGTCAAGTGTCTAAATTTGGATCATAGGATCACAAGGATGCTGCAATGGTCGTTAAGTGTGAAAAACAGTCACTTTGTTCAGTGATGTTGTAACATTGAGCAGTCACTAAATGAACTGTTGTCAGTTGAGGACTAGCTATATGCCATATGATGGATGGATGGATGGATGATAGATAGATAGAGACAGACAGACAGAGGATATAGAGAAGAGAGAGGGATGGAGAGAGAGGGAGAGAGATAAGTAGGTAGGTAGGAAGACTGACAGAGGATAGATATATAGATAGATGAGAGAAGAGACGGATGGAGAGAGAGGGAGATATAGATAAAGGATAGATAGAGGATACATAGAGGAGAGAGAGAGATGGAGAGAAAAGGAGATAGAGGA